GGACCACCAGGAAACATCTCGAGTGCCAAGAGGGGGCCGAGACTGGAGGGAGCTCACGTGCCGGGCCCCGGGGGAGGCGATACAGGCGGCCCGGATGAGTAGGTCGACCCTGCCAGATCAAGGGTCTCCTCGTGTCCTGTGTCTTGCGACCCATGCCTCCTGCATTTATGTGGCAGCGTGGCCCTCGGAAGGGTCTTGTGTCCTCTCGCGTGTCCTCTCCGATCAAGTCCGACTGTACTCGTTCGACGCCGTTCCGATACTGCTCGGGGTGCTCGGATGTTACCGGTTTGAAACATATCCCTATCCCTATGTTTAGCATCGCCTTTCTTTGGTGCCGATCTTCAGGATTCCCTCCGTTTCTGAGGGCACATTCCTGAGGCGATCCTCGCTTTTGGCCTGCCGATCTCAGGGATAGGGATGGGTTCGAGTCTGGTTATTCTGGGACGCGGTGCTGAAGGGCCTTGTGCCCTCTCGCGTGTCCTCTCCGATAAAGTCCGACTGTACTCGTTCGACGCCGTTTCGATACTGCTCGGGGTTCGAGTCTGGTTATCCTGGGACGCGGTGCTGAAGGGCGACGTCAGCAGCACACAAACCGTACCGGCGGGCCCACGCCCGCCCGCCTCTCGTGGGAGGGGGTCGGGTATGGCCAGGACCCCGGGTGAGGGGACCCTGTTAGCGGTAGGGCCCCGGAGCCTTCGAATTGGCCAGAATCACTAAACTCGGGGGCGGAAAAGAGGGGGGTGATGACTAGGAGGGGGTGGATATGATGGCGGGGGCCATGATGTTTCCCCAGATTTCATGGCGCCTCTTCTTGTTTCCTTACGTCCCTGGCCCCCCTGCTGGGCCGCGCACATGCCGCCGGTCATGAGTTGCACCCCCCCCCTTTTGGACACCCCCCTCTTGGCCGCTCCCGATAAACCAGGTTTGCCATCGCTGGCGTTTCTTCGGGTGACGGCAGTTCTCACCACCTACCAGACCACCCCAACCCAACCCGAAGGCCTCAATTTGCCTTCCATTTCCAGTGGGGGGGGGGGTCGGGGAACGTTGGAAAAACACATGGAACCCGTAACCCCCCCAACCCGAAATTCGGTCCAAATTCGGGTCTTCGGGTTGGGTTGGGGTGGTCTGGTAGGCAGTCAGTTCCGGTGAGTGGAAATGGGGCGGGGGGGGCGCCCCCCGGTGCAGATGCCTAAGCCAGGTTCTACCAGCGCCCGAGAGGGGGGGGAGCACGCGGGCCCTCCGGCGGCGGCTCGGAGGCCGGGGGGCCCGGCTCGGCTTGTAGGCACGTGTCGGGAGTTCAAGCAGCGGCGAAGCGTCCTGCCTCGCCTGTAGCCCTACCAGACAATGTTCTAAGAACCTTTTTTTTGCAGGGGTGGACAGAACCCCCAACAGTGACACGTCGATTAGTGAATTGTCCGTTTTCGGTTCTCGAGAGGGCGCCGCGGCCGTTATTTTCCAGGCCTGCGCCCGCCAGGTTTGGGCCTCAGGTCGCTTTCACTAAACCACGTTTTACTAAAGGGAGATCTGTCCATCCCCGATTTTTGGTTCCCACAAAATGTTTTTAGAACATCTCTGGCGGAGTCTGTCTTGTTTTAACACATCGGGCTTCTGTTCTAAGAACACTGTTTCGTTCTTAGAACATTTTGGGGTTCTAAGAACATGTCGTGGTAGGACTCAAGGAATGCCGGGACGGTCGGTCCCTGCTGAAGGAGTCCGGCAGAGGCAAAGCTCATCGTGCCGCGGTTCTCGAGCACAGCTCGTGTTCAGAACCTCCGTGGAGGTGGATGATTTGCCCTTGCATCCAATCGGCCTATCCTCGGCCACTTGGGCTGGCCGCGGCTCTCTCGAAAAGTGCGGACACCCTCATCCAAAGTCCTTGCATCTGTACTCTCGAAAAGTGCCGACACGGCCTTCCAAGGCCCTAGCATCCTTCTCGTGCATCCTGATCATGCGCGTTGATTGTAGCGTCGATGAGCGTCTGATAATCGACGCGATGGCGCCGGCTTGGAGTCGATCACCGTCGAGCAGCTTCGAGGAGCGTCGATTTGCCACCGAAGCTCAGGCTCCCCAGCCCTCGTGGCCCTATCATTGAGCCGCCGACTTCGAGGCCAGGAGTGCGTCCGCGTCCCGCGCCCAGGGGGGGGGCCAGCCTCCTGGGCCTCCCGAGGCGGTGTATTTCCATGTATATATATATATATATATATGGTCGATCCCCCCCCCCCAGCGACCCCCCAGAGCGCCCAAAGCACGAATACACAACTCAACTTTGGCCTGCCATCCAGGCTGACGATCTCATCCGCTCGGCCCATCCGTCACGGGCACCGTGCGCGCAAGCATATCGGTTTCGGCCGAGGCCACGAAACACTGTGTATCACAGGTTTTTCTGGTTTTTCTGGTCTGGGAACCAACGAAACACTGCGTATCACAGGTTTTTCTGGTTTTTCTGGTTTCTGGAGCTGAAATGCTCGCCGCGGCCTCGCCCCACCGCTCCCCCACCTCCTGTTTGTCGGCACCTGAAAACCAGAAAAACCAGAAAAACCTGTGATATACAATGTTTCGTTGGTTCCCAGACCAGAAAAACCAGAAACACCTGTGATACACAGTGTTTCGTGGCCTCCGAGCAAGAAAACACTGTGTACTCTTCGGGGACTACAGCGCTCGCCGCTCACTGGCAGTGCTCCTTGAGGAAGGCCTCCTCCAGCATCTTCCCTGTTGCCAGCCACAAATCCTCGCCCCTGTGCCAGTACAACCACTGGTAGGAGCGGATCTTGTTGGTCAGCGCCTTGGTGTTCACTGTCTTCTTATTCCCTAAGTGTTTCCGCAGCTCGCCCCAGATGCGGTCGATGATCTGGGTGCCAGCTTTAACCCAAACGCGCTTGGTCTTGTTGGGCTTGCTGTCATCTGGAACATCGTGGTGGGTGATCTTGGTGAACTTAGGCTTGATCCACACCCACTTACCCGTGACCATGACGCGCTTCTTGGCGTGGACAACCCAATCATGCTTGACCCCTTCGAGCTTCAGCTTATAACTCCTGGCCCCGTCCGTGTGCAGTATGATGTTGCGCTTGTGGACCCACTTGTAGGCCAGAGGCTTCCAATCGCGCTTGCGGATCGGGCCTGGGCCTGGTGCCCGCCTCTTTGTCTTCGCTGGGTCCAGCTTGAACAAGACGAGGGATTTCTGGTCGCCGCGCTGAACCATGCCGCCCCATTGCTCCCAGATGACAGGCTTGTCAGTCGCAGCGTCTGTGTTGGGGTCTTCTCCTTTGGCGATGTCCACTTCGTCGGTTTCTACGTCCGCCCAAGGCAAGTCGGCACCGAACTTGATGTTCTTCTCGTGCTGGACCACGCTTTTGGCGCGCACCGCGTGCAAGGACTCGTAGATGCTCTCCGTGAGCTTATGATTCTTTTGCAAGAGAAAACGCACGGAAGTCTGCGAGCATTTCGCAATCGAGCAGAAGAGCACAGAAGCTTGATCTGCCAAGCTCACGTGCGACTGCCCCGTACCGCACTTGAAGATGGGGTGGGAAGCGTGCGGGAGCACGCGGCGCTTGCACTCCTTGCTGTTGCAGCGGTAGGCCCACCCTCCATTCGAATCGGCGTAGTGCTTCAGAGGGCCAAGAGTGCCTTCCCCGCAATAGGGGCACGTGACGCCCTTCCAATCAGGGAGGATCTTGTCGCGCGTCAGCTTGTTGATGATGGTCTTCGCGGGCATGTTCACGAAGTCCTTGAGGGACCTCGTCCACGTGGCCTGCGCATGGCGAATCCTCTTGGTCGGGGCCCCGTGGCGAAACCGCAAGAATTGGGAACCCAAAAAATGTGTTCCCACAGCGTTCTCTTGTGGTTACGACCCAACGTGTTCTCGTTTGGGTTTGACGTAAAGTGCGCTGGTAATCCCAGAGCGCGCGCCAGTGTCTGGCACAGCGCCGCGCAAAGGCGAGCGACTCTTGCGATGCCGCCGCCATCGCTAGCTACTACAGTCTACAATATACATTTAGCTAAGTAGGCACGCGTGATATGGGGGATCTTATTCAATATCCCCCTCCACGCCCACTGCTGTGGGCACGGCGACGACATGTGACGCTGTCTCGTTTACCATCGCACGTCACCAAACCGCGTTTCAAACAAGCGGACCAACGCGACCCTTCTTTGTCGTGGGATGGGGGGATCTTAAATAAGATCTCCCTCGTTGGCCACTGCTGCGGCCACGGTGGTAAAGTTCGGTTTGTTTTCGCTTGGCGTTGACGCAATGCCGGCGCACATGACAACAGGCGGACTGTACTGCGTCAGCGCTTGCTTTCGTTAGCGGGTCCGCGAGAACCCGCGCGCACCTCACTGTGCGCCCATGCAACCATCCCGCAAGGATGAATTGCCCCTCGTGGCCCACTTTTTGGGGTCCAGGGTCAGCCAGGCCCAGCGCTTCTTGTTGTTGAAGTTGACTCCTGCTATGCTCTCCCGCAGCCGTTTCGGCCCTGGCGGCCCCGACGAGAGGTCGGAGGGGCTGTTTAGGGCAACATGCCGGGCGCTGCTTGCCCACCTGCGCGTGAGGAAAAACATATCTTCACATCGACATTGGTAGCGGAGCTACTGTCGAGCGGGTTCGATCCACGGCACGGTGTCCGTCGCGGGGGTCGCGACGGGTGTAGCCACGGTGTGGTTGCCCACGGTGTGGGGTGGAGCTTGAGGCTACTATGGGTGCCCCTGCGGAGCAGGGCGCGGCCCCTGCGGCGCAGGGGGCGGCCGCCGCGGCTGCGGCGGGTGACGACACCGCGCAGCAGTGGTTTGATGACTGGGGCCCGTGGGCGGCAGCCCCAGGGGCAACGGCGCGGCGCGCCGAGCCAGAAGCTCCTTCGGGAGGCGGCGCCTCCGAAGCCCGCGGAGCGGGTGGGGACGGATCGCGGGGATCCAGTTGGTGGGGCGGCGCCCCTTGGGGGGGCGACGTCCCTTGGTGGGCCCCGCAGCGCTGGGAAAGCAGCGAGAGCCGCAGTGGCGGCTGGGGCTGGATGAGTGGGCAGGGCACTCGACCAGAGCCCGACGCCCGGGACGCACGCTGCACCTCCGGAGGGTTGGGAGGTGGCGGGCAGCGTGCTTACGAGGGCTGGTCTTGGCAAGGCCGCCCCTGGTCTGAGGAGTGGGGGCAGCGCGGCTGTCAGCCAGGACCGACGTCGCCAGGGACCAGCACAGGCTGGTACTGGCAGGATTGCCCCTGGTCTGAGGAGTGGGGGCAAAGCAGTTGGCAACCAGGGTCTGGCGGCTACTGCGGGTCCGTTAGGTACGAGGGCAGCGGGCCCTCTGGACAGGAGCGCGGCGACGACAAGTTCGTGCCCGAATGGGACGGGAAAGCCGTGCCTCTAAGGACGTACGAGCGGCGCGTGAAGATCTTCGAGCTGAACGCGGCCATCCTGCCCGAGCGTCGGGGCGGGCGGCTTTCCTTCGAGGCTCAAAGGTGACGCTGAAGCCAAAACAGAGAACCTCGACCCTGAGACCCTCGCTAGGCCGGACGGCGCCCGGGTGCTGTTGCGCTATCTCCATGAGAAGTGCGACCAACAGGAGACGCTGAAGGTCGGCACGCTCGTAGATGAGTTCGTGGAGAAGGTCAGCCGGAACGCTGGCGAGGAGATCATGGACTTCGAGACGCGGTACGAGGCCAAGGTGCGCGAACTCGAGGAGGCGATGGAGGAGCCGCTCAACAAGCACTTGAAAGCCCACTACTTCCTGAAGAAACTGCGCGTGGGCGGCGACAAGGAGAGCCAGATCACCACTGGTGCTGGCAACGAGCTGGTCTACGAGAAACTTCGCGACTCGGCTAAAGCTTGCATTCCTCGGGTGTCTATGCTGAGGAATCGGGCGGCGGCGCCGTTCAACGGAGCCAACCGCGAGTACCTGAACAGGAATCGCCGGAGGCTCGGTAAACCCTTAGGCAGGGGCGGCGCCCGAAAGGTCCACGCTACCGAAAACGCCGAAGCCGAGGCTGAACGCGAAGGCGCCGAGGCCGAGGGCCCCGACGCGTCCGCCGAGGAGGACGACGACGACGAGGAGCCGGACTCGGAAGTCGACGCTGGCGTGGACCCGCATATCGCGGAGAACGAGTTGGTCCCTGAGGAGCTCCAGGCGTACCTCACGGAAAACGAGGTGCTCATGGCGCAGGCTAAGAAGGCGCGCGCCGAGGCTGAGAAGGCGCGCGACTTCTACCGTGGACCTGGCGGCAGGGCCAGCGGAGGCCGAGGCGCCGATTCCGAGCGCATCCGGAAGCTCAAGCTGACGCTCCCGTGTAAGCGATGTGGCAGGCTGGGCCACTGGAAGGACGACCCTGAGTGCCCTCGGGCCCCGGGGAAGGCTAGCACGGCTGGTAAGGCGGCCGGTGCGGAAGGCAAGGGCACGTGGGTCGTGGCCCGCGCTGAAGAGCCCGCGGAGCGGGAGAAAGAACCGGCGGAGCCGGCGCACCTGGATGGTGTCGTACTTGAGTCTCAAAAGCCTCTCTCACTTCTTCTCCCTCCCTCCTTTTACCTCGGAGGAACAGGAGGCTCATCCATCGAGGTCGGCGGCGCCAACAAAGACGGAAAAGGGAATGCTGGTGCGAAGGGGAATGCCGGTGCGAATGTGAATGGAGGCGCGGCCGGTGCGCAGGAGTTGCGGCGCGAAGTTGAATGCCGGCGCGAAGGGAACTGCCCGGGCGAAGTCGACAATGGCGTGAAGATAACGCGCTTCAGGAGCGAGGAGGAAGAGGAGGCTTTTCCCCTATGTGTCTCCCCTCCTTCTTCCAACCTCCAAGCCGCCGCGGGACATCCGATGTCCGTACTAGTCGCAGAAACGGGCGACGCTGTGTGGCTGATCGTTGTGGACACGGCGTGTGCTAAGTCCGTGGCGGGGCTCCGGTGGTACCGGCGCTTGGCCATCTACGTTAGGAAGAACTGGGGCATCGAGCTCGAGACAGTCACCGAGCGCGAACCTTACCGGTTCGGACCGGGGAAGACGATCTACAGCTCCCAAGCGTTGCTGTTGCCCATGGAATGGGACGGCAAGGGGGCCGTGATTAGGATCAGCTTGGTGGAAGAGGACGTTCCGCCATTGATCTCGGGCGGAGCCCTGAAGGCCCTGGAGGCCCATATCCACATGAAGGAGGCCGAGATCACACTCGGTGCCCTCAGCAAGGCCAGGCACAAGCTCAGGGAGCTGCCGTCGGGGCACCTGGCCATGGCTGCTGTCAGTTACGGACCTGGGGGGCCAGGAGCGGGCGCACAGGAAGCCGTGAGCCGCTGCCGGGCCGGGGCTGAGATCGCGCTGTATGGGCGCGTCCGCGGATCCCCGTACGAGGCCGTGCGCCGTGCGCTTTACACGGACGGCCGGCCAGACGACGACGACCACGACGACGACGACGACGAAGCGGCAGCGATCGAGTCGACCGCAGCCCCTGTCGGTTTAGGACCCGTACGGCGAGCACGAGCAAGCGCCGTCTTCGGTGGCCCTGGGGCGCGCGCGCGGGCAGATGCCGCCATGGCGCCCGACTGTCGTGCAGTGTCGCAGCGGAGCTGCGAGGGCGAGTGTGGCAACTCGGTTGGTATTCATGGCATGGAGGGCCTGGTATCAGGAGTTGTTGGTGGATTACCTGGAGCGGGAGGTCCTCACCCTCCGCCAGAGGGAGGACACCCCTCGAAGCATCTGGGAGATGCGGAAGGCAGAGCTGGTGACGCTGGCCATGCAGCGACTCGGCTGGCAGAGGGCCCGCGCGGAGGCAGAGACCGCTGGTCAGTTGAGGCTCGTGCTTCGAGAAAAGAAGGACGAGATCCAAGCGTCGGAAGTGGAGAAAGACGACCCTCGAACAACCTTACCGACGGGCCTCACCAATATGAAGTTGGCGCAGTTGCAGGAGGAGGCCGCGGTGCGGCAGATACCGCTGACACGGTCGAACGGCGCCGACAAAAGACGGGAAGAGCTCATCCGAGACGTCAGGCTGTTCGTGAGCGAAGGCCAAGCGGAGGCCGAATGGACCCCAACGGAGGCACTGGAGGGCTCGAGCAAGATGAGTCGTGCCCAGAAGAGGGAGTCAACCGGAGTGAAGACGGAAGAGAGTATGGAGGTGGACTCCGGCACTGGGCCTGCCGAGCCGTCGAGCGGTTCAGCGGCCGCGCGGGGGACGCGCCCGGTGCTGGCAGCCATGCGAGCACGCAGGCTGCCGGCGGCGGGAAGCAAGGGCGCGGCAGCGCCCGAAACCGACGTTTGAAGGGCCCCACGGCGACGGCAGTGCGCAAGGCATGCCTGGGCATCGCCTCGGCATGGTTGCTTGGGGTAGCCACCCTCGGGACCTGGCTCGAGGAAACTGGCGGCGGGCAGTGGGCCCGTCACCGTTGGGGTACGGACCGCGTGGGCGTGGTCGAGTTCTTCGGAGGCGGCAGTGACGTCAGTCGCATCGGATCCAAGAATGGTTGGTGGTGTCTCCGTCCTGGGGACGCGAAGTGCGGAGCCGACCTCGCACAGGAGTCCGAGCAGGCGGAGGCCTTGGGAATGTTGAGCGATGTGCGACCGAGGTTGGCTGTGGTGGAGCTCCCTGGCTCCTCAGTCGGCGGCGCCCAACGCGGTACTCACCAGAGCAATGCCGATCAGCAGCGACAACGAGCCGAGCGACGACGGCAGCGGTCGCTGATGGAGTTTACCCGGAAGGTGTTCGAGGTGCAGGCGGAAAATGGCGGTTGCGCCCTGGTGAGGAATGAGTCAGCCATCCACGCGGTGGAGGCCCTCCCTTCGGTTGAGGTAGTCAAGGGCGGCCTGTGCGTGAGAGGAGTCACGGGTCAGCCAGCGTGGTGGGCGACGAACTGCCCTGAGATCGCAGCGGTGCTGCGGCGAGAGTGTTCCGTGGTGCACGAGCGTCGCTCGGGGGTCAACGACAAGGCCACATCAAGCACTGGGCGACATTCTTTAGCGCTCGGTGTGCTTCGAGGGCTCAAGCGCCATCTGACGCGCGTGGAGCCTGAGAGGATCGGGTGGCGCGGACGGCTCCCGGGAACGCGGCCTTCAGGTCAGGGTCGCAGCGTGCGCGAGGGGCGCGCGACGAAACTCGAACCAGGACCAGCATCTTACCCCACAGGGCTCGGAGAGACCGACGGCGGGAATGCGATCCCTCAGGGGATTCCGTTTAAGTTTCCAGACACTCCGATGGGCAAGTCGCTGGCCCAGCGGATGACGCCGGAGCTACGTCGGAACCTGCGTCGACTCCACCTCAACACGGGGCACGCGAGCCCCGAAGATTTGGCTAGGTTAGTCGCCAAGGCCGGCGGCTCCGAGGTGGCGGTCGCGGGAGCCAAAGCACTCCGGTGCTCCAGCTGTGCGGAACGCCCGCGAGCGAGGCCCCCGCGGCCCGCGCGACTTCGAGAGGACGACTTGTCCTTCAACGAGGTCGTGCAAGCAGACCTGTTCAAGATTCCCGACCAGTGCGGAACAGGTTGGTGGTTCCTGTTGGTGCAGGACGTGGCGACGGGGTACTGCACGATCGGGCTGATCAATGCGCACAGCAGCGAAGAACTGTGGGGGCAGTACGAGCGTTTGTGGCTCTGCTGGGCGGGGCCACCAGATCAGTTCGTGACAGACAACGAGCGGGGGCTCGTCAGTGGAAGCTTCGTGGACGCCCTCTCGAGGAGCGGCACCGCGTACGACCCTACCGCGGCGTACGCGCCCTGGCAGAAAGGCAAGGTCGAGCGGAAGATCCAGGAGGCAAAGAACGTGATGAAGAAAAGCATCCGGCACGGAGCGTATTCTGGGATCGATGAGATGCAAGCTCTCGCGTGGGAAACTGCGTCAGCCCTCAACCATTTCCCTGGGCAGTGCGGCTACAGCCCATCACTGCTTCTCTTCGGTCAGAAGATGAAGCTTGTCGGCGAGTGCTGGCACGAGGGCAAAGCGGTGAGCTAGCACCCATGTGTGGCCGAAGAGGGCGATCCGCTGGCACGGCGACTTAAGATACGTGAGCACTGTCAGCAGTCGCTCATCAAGACGCGCAGTCAAGAGCTCGCGCGGAGGGCCGTGGCCGCGAGGAGTCGCGGCACTCCGGCGGAGTGGAAGGAAGGCGAACGCGTGTTCTTTTTCCGGTCTTACCGCACGGAGAGTGGACGCCGGGTCAACGAGCCGGAGCGGTGCGGACCTGCTCTGGTGTTCGGGAGGCGCAACGACAACGTTTGGGTTCAGTACGGCGGCAAACCGTTTCTGGTTGCGCCAGAACACTTGAGGCCTCTGAGCCCAGAGGAGCAACACCTGGCGGAGGATGCCGACCTCGCCCGGTATCTGGACGAGATTCGACAGGCTATGAGCCGCGAAGAGTTTGAAGACCTCACTGGCCTGAATGCCGGACCGGATGAATTAGCGGCCGCGGACGGACTCGTTCAGGGGGAAGCCTCCGAGCAGGAGCGGGAAGGCCCTGGGGGCGGGGGAGTGGTCGAGGTGGACCCTCCTGCGCCCGGGGGCACCCCCATGGAGGAGGCCCGAGACGAGGCCCAAGGCAGCGGACTGCCTCGGGGCGTACCGCGCGAACTGGAACGCTTCATCACCATGCCAGGCTGGCATGTGAGTGATCGGGGCTGCCCGGTGCGGAGCCTCGGTGAGGCCTGGGCCAGAGTTACGCTGGACGCGCGATCCCCGCTCGAGAAATGGCCGCTCAGGACGACTTACGAGAAACACGGCGGCGAGTGGCGCTGCACAGAGCATCGGGTCCGGTGGGCCCAGCTGACGAACCCGAGGGAGCTATTGCGGCCGGCAGCAGATCGCATGCTCGTGGTGTTCGAAGAAGAGAAAAAGCGCCAGCGAGAGCCGACGCTCGCGACAGTCGAAGGACCCGCCGCGGTGCGGCGGACGGGCGAGGCCCCGAGTGGGGCCAGTTACCAGGCTCACCAGGTGATGACGGCGTATCACCGCGGGACGGGGTCCGCACTGCTGGACCGAAAGACTCAAGATCGCGAGCTTAAGTGGGGCGAAATAGCGCCTAAGGATCATGAGGCGTTCCAGGCCGCTGTGGAGAAGGAGTGGGATTCTTGGCTCCGCTACAGGTGCGTGTCGGTGCTGGAGCCAGAGGCCTCACAGGAAGTGTTGCGGACAGTGGACCGGAGTCGGATCCTCGGGAGCGACATGAAGCTCAAAGACAAAAATGCCGCCCTAAGGACGCCCGAAAATGATCTGCCGCTCAAGGCTAAAGCACGGTTGTGCGCGCAGGGCCAGCACGATCCCGACGCGAAGCTCGGAACAGTCAAGACGGACGCTCCCACGGTGCAGCGATCTGGGTTCCACGCCTACCTGCAGTTATCGGCGAACTTGGGGTGGCTATCTCAGTTGGCCATCGGTGACGTTTCCAGTGCGTTCCTGCAAGGGGAACCGCGCCAAGGGCAGGAACCGTTGTACATGCGCCAGCCCCGGGGCGGATTGCCGGGGTTGGAACCCGGACAGCTGCTGAAGATAGAAAAGGGCATATACGGGTTGCCCGACGCGCCGCGAGCGTGGTTCAATACGTTCCGCAAGGCCATGGTAGAGGAAATGGGGTGGAAACACTTGCAGCTCGACGTAGCTTTCCTCTGTTACTATAGCGGCGATCGTCTCGCAGGTATGCTCATTGTGCACGTGGACGATTGCATGTTAGCCCACGACGGCAGCGCCGAGATGCGTGCCAAGGAGGCGAGGCTGCGCGAACGTTTTCCTTTCGGGTCTTGGACGGTGGTCGCGCAGCAGGCCGAGGGAGATGTGTACACCGGTCGTCGGATCAGAGTGGACGGGTCATGCGTCGAAGTGGGAATGCCAGAGTTTGTCGAAGGGAGACTCGAGGAGGTGAAGGTCGACCGTCAGGCAAAAGGTGAGGACCCAGTGAGCCCCCTCGCGAAGGCTGAGTTTCAGTCAGCGACGGGGTCGCTCCACTGGCTGGCAAGCCAGTACCGTCTCGACAAAGCCTACGAGACAAACCGGTTTCAGAAATTGCAAAAGGCGCCCACCTGGTCCGACGCGAGAGAACTCAACAAGTGTATTCGAGACGTGAAAGCCAGCGGAGGCGCTCGGCTTCGGATCGCTCCCATTAAAGGGAGGATGGGCGTTGGCTGTTGGCACGACTCGTCCCTGTATGGGAATGTGAGCGAGCTCATTGAGGGAGACGAGGACCTCAAACGGTTCGATCGCGTGGCTGCCATCGACCTCGACTGCTTGGAGCAGGACGAGCTGCCGATATCAATCCTGGACTGGCGAAGCCGAGCCAGTCATCGGGTGGTGACGTCGACGTTCTCGGCGGAGACGGCGGCGTGCCTAGAGGGCCACGGGATGGCCTACTACATGCGGGCGTTGCTGTGTGAGGCAACCTACGGTTGGAGCGGTACTCCTGTCGTGGAGTACGGTGAGGATGAAATGCCTCTCACGCTATTCACCGACTGTCGTAGTCTGTACGACCACGTGAAGGTCGAAGGGAACATCCCCGACGATCGACACGACGCTGTGTGGCTCGCTGCGCTAAAATCTCTGGTCTCGTGCGGGCCACAACGGGACGAAGAAAAGGCGGGGCTCAGGTGGCTCCCGAGCAGGTGGATGATTTCGGACGGGCTCACAAAAGGGGGATTGAGCGAACGGGTCCGGGAGTTCATGGAACAAAACCGTACGAGGGTCCATGAGGAAAGTGCCCAGGCAATCCGGAGGAGTCAGACAGTTAAACGGCCCTCGGGGGAAACCTCAGGTCAAAACCGGCGTCCGCCAGTCGGCCTTGCTGGCCCGGGTCCAGGGCGATTGCGTAAATTTGTCCACACGGAGAGAATAAATCGCACCCTGTTTGTTGATGCTGGTCTGCGTGCTGGCACGAGTGCGGGCACTCAACTTGGGATTTCAACGTCTTTCGTCTCCGTTGCTAGCGCCGCCGTTTGTGCTCAAGCGGATAGTGCATTGCCGGCGCGCGGCGCGGCCGGAGGCCGTGCGGACGCGATGGATCGCGGCGCGAGTGGTGCCGGCTCCGACGCGGGGCATCGCAGCGGCCGCCGAGGCAAAGAGGCCCCGCGGCGCGGGGAGGAGCCGACGGCTCAGACCACGCGGAGCCGCAGCCGCGGTAAAGGAGAAGAACCCCCGCGGCGCGGGGAAGAGCGGCGGCGCTCGCCGGCGGAGCCAGCGGAGCCGGCGGAGCCAGCGAGGGTCGAGCGAAGGGCGACGCCCCCGAAACGCACGGGGTGCGGAGACGGTGGCGGCCCAGTGTGCTTCACCCGGCGCCACCTGGGGGGTGACGGGGGGAGTATCGAATCCTACCCGTCGGAGCACGCGGCGCTGAAGACGGCTGACCATTTCATGGTCTTCACGCAGCTGGAGGTGGACCAGCTGCCGAACTCGGAGTGGAGCCTATGGGTGTCTAACTTTCTCAGGGTGGCGTACCCTGGGGCACTGGTGCCCGGCAAGGACAGCGCCGAGGAGTTAGCGTACCGCTGGAACAACGTGGTGCACCAGGACGGCTTGAAGTACAAGCGCTGGACACTGGTGATGGACCTGCTCAAGACTTACCCGCTGGCAGCGACGCACTGGCAGGCGGCGGCGCAGCGGAGGCTGATGGTCAGCATCCCGCCGCCAGCTGCAAGCGCACGGGATGCAAGCGCCAGAGACTCAGACTCGGATTCGGAGTACAGTTCGGACGAAAAGCGTGCCGCGCCAGAGGTCGGCGCGAAGGCACGGGCCGAGGTTGAGCACGACGAAAGGTCCTGCTCGGCGCGGCGCGCCAGGGCGGAGGAAGACTCGGAGGGCGACGACGGGTCGTCAGGCCGACGCTCTCGCCGACCGCCTCGCGCCCGGAGCCCGTCGCCGGAGGCGCACGTCGAGGAGCACAAGGGCGGCAAAGGCTCGAAGGGTGACAAGGGTAAGAAAGGCAAGGGCTCGAAGGGCGAGAAGGGCAAGGGCACCAAGGGCGGCAAGTCTAAGAAGGGGCCTCTGCCGGGGTCGATTCCCAGCGAAGTTCTCAACCCGAACATCTGCCGGCTCTGCTTCAAGGAGGGGCACTGGGGCAACCAGTGCCCGGTGTACTACCAGGACGGGACGCCGAAGGAGGGGCCGGCGCCCTGGGGGAAGCCGGCCGAAGCGCCAGACACGACGGCTCCGAAGTGAGGGCGGCTCACCAAACCATGGCGGTGCCATGCTAGTCCGGGCCGTTTTGGTCCCCAGGGGCCCGGCCTCCGAGTAGCGGCGGTGCCGCTGCGCGAGCGGCGCTCGCAGAGACACAGCCGTAAGTGTTGTGCGTCGCGGCCATTTTGGCCCACAGTGAGCCCGGTCGACGGTGTCGACCGGGCGGAGTACCCGCAGGACCCAGGAGGGAGCTGGAGAGGTAGCAGTGTTGAAGTTGACTCCTGCTATGCTCTCCCGCAGCCGTTTCGGCCCTGGCGGCCCCGACGAGAGGTCGGAGGGGCTGTTTAGGGCAACATGCCGGGCGCTGCTTGCCCACCTGCGCGTGAGGAAAAAACATATCTTCACATCGACACTTGTCTTTGGGCGTCGCCCAGTGGTTGAAGCGCGCCTGCTTCGAGCGGAAGGTGGCGAGGGCAGTCTTGGCTTGGTCAAGCTCGGCCTGAAGTTCTCCCAGGAGCTGCGCCTGCTTGCGGCCACATGGCCGAAGGGGCATCCATTTGTGGATGCCCCCATTTCTACCGCATCAAGACACGATGGGAGGGGAAGAGGGCGCCAAAAGCTCTGGCCCTGCTTCCGCCTCTGGTCTAGGTTGTGCTTCTGGTTCTGCTTCAGGTTCTGGCTCTGGCTCTGGCTCTGGTTCTGGTTCTGGTTCTGGCTTTGGTTCTGGTTCTGGTTCTGGTTCTGGCTTTGGTTCTGGCTTTGGTTCTGGCTCTGGCTCTGGTTCTGGCTCTGGTTCTGGCTTTGGTTCTGGTTCTGGTTCTGGCTCTGGTTCTGGCTCTGGTTCTGGTTCTGGTTCTGGCTCTGGTTCTGGTTCTGGTTCTGGTTCTGGTTCTGGCTCTGGTTCTGGCTCTGGTTCTGGTTCTGGTTCTGGCTTTGGTTCTGGCTTTGGTTCTGGTTCTGGTTCTGGTTCTGGCTCTGGTTCTGGTTCTGGTTCTGGTTCTGGCTCTGGTTCTGGCTCTGGTTCTGGTTCTGGTTCTGGCTCTTCTGGTTCTGGTTCTGGCTCTGGTTCTGGTTCTGGCTTTGGTTCTGGTTCTGGCTCTGGTTCTGGTCCTGGCTCTGGTTCTGGTTCTGAGCAAGCAGAACCTGGGAAAACCAAAAAGCGGCGGCGCTGATGATTGGAACACGAGGGGACACGAGGGGGCACGAGGGGGACACGAGGGGGACACGAGGGGGACACAAGGGGACACGAGGGGGACAGCAGGGGACACGAGGGGACATCAGGGGACACGAGGGGGACACAAGGGGACAGCAGGGGACACGAGGGGGACACGAGGGGGACACGAGGGGACACGAGGGGGACAGCAGGGGACACGAGGGGGACACGAGGGGACAGCGGGGGACACGAGGGGGACACGAAGGGGACAGCAGGGGACACGTGGGGCACAAGAGGGGAAAGCAGAGGACACGAGGGGGACACGAGGGGACATCAGGGGACACAAGGGGGACACGAGGGGGATACGAGGGGGACGCGAGGGGGGCACGAGGTGACACAAGGGGGACACGAGAGGGACACGAGGGAACAACAGGGGACACGAGGGGGACACGAGGGGACAACAGGGGACACGAAGGGAACCATTCAAGTCTTGGAACATTTCGTTGCTACGGTTTGCCCCCCGTCAACCTTCTGCTCCGAACGTTCTCCAACAGGGAGAGGACCAGGAGGAAGAACAGAAGGTGGAGGACGAGGGAGGAGGGAGGAGGAGGACGAGGAACAGGAGAAGCAGGAGGCGAGGGGGGAGATGGAAGAGGAGGGGGAGGATGAGGGAGAGTAAGATGAGGAGGAATACTTCTCGGGTCACAGCCCGCTGTGACAGACCATGTGTCTGCGGCTGTTCGGTGCCAGCATCTCAAGACCGCGGCTTCGTGTTTTGGGCGTTTTGGGGGGTCGCTGGGGGGGGGGGACCGAGCATATATATATATATATATATATATATATATATATTGCCGTAGTGCTGGTGTAGACGAAGCTTGCTCTCAGCTTGCTCTCAACTGGCAGCCGCCGCCTTTTTATGGTGGCGCCCACGTCGGCAGGGACGGTTCACAAATGTAACCATGCTGCGCGCGAGTATATCTATTTATATATATATATATATATGTTCATAGGGCCGGGGGGGCCCGGCAAGAGCGCCCCCCCCCCTGACCTCCTCCCCCCCCGCGCGAATTTCGAATCCTCGGGCCTGTCTTGCGCCCTGGGTTTTCTCGGTGTTTCGACTCTCCGGGTCCTCGTGGGCCAGACTTAGGCTTCTTTGGGGGTCGTCTGGGGACTCATTTGGAGCCGTCCTGGGGCTATCTCGACGCCTCCAGAGCAGATCGTAATCGAAAAGGCGAGAAAACCAAAAACATGTTTTTTTCAATAGATCTTCATTGATTTTCAATTCTCGGGGCATTCTGCGGCAAGCCTTGGGCCTCTTTGGGGCGTGTCTGGGAACTTCTTTGGAGCCGTCCTGGGGCTATCTTGACGCCTTAAGAGCCGATCGTAAGCGAAAAGGCGAGAAGTCCAAAACATAGTTTTTGTCCAATGGGTGTTCATTGAATTTCAATTCTCTGGGCATTCTTCGGCCAGCATCGGGCCTCTTTGGGGCTCGTCTGGGAACTCCTTTGGAACCGTCTTGGGGCCATCTCGACGCCTCAAGAGCCGATCGGAAGCGAAAAGGCGAGAAGGCCAAAACATAGTTTTTCCCAATGGGTTTTCATTGAATTTCAATTCTCTGGGCGCATTCTTCGGCCAGCCTCTGGCCTCTTTGGCGCTCGTCTGGGAACTCATTTGGAGCCGTCCTGGGGTTACCTTGGCGCCTCAAAAGCCTTTCGCGCTGACGATGTAAAAACATAACAATGTAACACAATCAAGACATGCATCTCACAGCACCGCCAGGCAATGCAGAAAAACGCCGAGCAATGCAATACAATGCAAAGCAACACCCAGCAGTGCAAAGCAACGGAGGGCAATGTGAATCATGACAGTGCAATATCACTGATGTCAACGGAATGCAAAGCAAGACCAGGCAAATCCGAGAATTGCAGAGCAACGCGGAGCAATACTCAGCAATCTGCTTCAGGCATTCAAGGGGCGCGTGCTTGCCCACTTCCTTTGTAGTGTCTATTCCGACCCCTGTTAAGACACGCGTGTCTTTCTGCTCCCCTGAGGTATAGATCACGACAGGGAATATCGCCTCCTCCCCCACCCACCGCCTGCCCCGGCCCCACCTTTGTTGGGCAGTAGAAAATAATGGTCTGAGCAACCGTGGTAGCGGTTAACCGGTTTCTAGATGAGGTAAGGCAGGGTATTTGCTATGCGTCACCCATTGTAAGATATGCAGTTGCTCTGCTCCCTTGAGGCGTAGACAACGACGATAATATCGCCCCCCTCGTTCGATCTATAACCCCTGCTGCTGATTCCTCCTCTGGGCGCCAGGGTGGGGGCAGGCATGAATAGTACATTTGGAGTCCAGAGTCTGTTTTTTTGTCTATGCCCCTACTCCGCCCCCTCGTAGAATCCTGTTGCGAGCAGGGGTCCGTCTAAGACCTCGATCGCTTGCGGTCCCCTGTTGCCCCCGCCCGAGCTCCAGGCTTCCCAGATGGGGTCCGAGTGAATGGGGTCGGAGGATCGCGCCACGTCGCCGATGCATCGGCGATGCGGCTCGATGTGGAGCCCGAGTTTCTGCACGACGATGGCGCTGATGCATCGCCGACGTTGCCGATGCTTCGCCGACGTATTGCCGGTGCGTCGCCGATGCATCGGGGGTGCGGCGCGATCCTCCGACCCCACCTGCTCGGACCCGATCTGAGCGACGGAGGGAAGCGGGGCCGCTTTCGCCGACATCGGCGCGCAAGCTGCCCGCGCCAGGTCGCGCGTGAGGGCCCTCGTTGCAGATGTGGCGCGCCGCGCCGGCGCCTCGCGGAAGCCACCGAGTGCGGTGTGAGGCCTCTGTACCACCCGTCGGCATCGCTCGGACGTGTGCATTTTTTCTCGGCGAGAACCATCGAGGACCATCCTGGACCATCGAGCAAAAAAAACACGCACGAAACCAACAAATGCACAAGAAATGGACGTCCGAGCGATGGCAAGACCACGCGGTAACCCCCGTCTGTGTCCGTCGCTCATTTGGGAGCCCTCTCTCGGCGTCGCCTCCCCCCCCCAGAGGACTTCGACGACCAGCTGCGAGCCATCCTCGCGCGCGGCAAGGCGCCCCGCGCCCCCGCGGCCGCCCGCGGGCGGCCGCCCCCGGTTCTGCGGGTTCTTGGCGACCCTGCGCCGATCCAAGACGTCCGCGCGGAGCTCCAAAGGATTCCTTGGCATCGCTCTCGGACGTGTGCAGTTTTCCGTCGGCGAGGACCATCGAGGAGCATCCTTGATCATCTGGCGAGAAAGCCACGCACGAAACCGGGAAAAGCACAGGGAATGGACGTCTGACGGCGGCTTGGCTTCCGTCGCCGCCCCGTCGCCGCCCGCCGTCTGGGCCTGTCCGTCGGTCTGGCTGCGGGGTGGCCACCGTCGCCGCCTTGTCGCCGCCCATCCTCTGGGCCGGTCTTGACGAACCAACAACGCACACCCATACCCATGGGGGGATCGGAGAGGGCTATGGGTGCGTGTTGTCGGATGGGGGTCCCCGCTCGAACGGGAGCGTTCCCCAGGGTGCGACAACCCGCACCCATACCCATAGCCAGTCTTCCTCGCAAGGGCCCCCCCTATGGGTATGGGTGTCTGCTGTTCGTTCGTCGTCTGTTGGTCTGGCGGCCATGTGGCCGCTGTCGCCGCCCCGCTGCCGCCGTGTCGCCGCCCTGGATTGCACAATTCAGGAGGGAAAGAAACACACAGACACAATTAATCGTCGATTCCCCCAAAAATATGGGGAAATATGGGAAGTGGGGGGGGAAGACAAAAATCCAGAAAATATGAGAAAATATGGGGAATCCTATTATTTGGGTGTATTTATTTGTGTGTCCCAGGGCCCCTTCAACAATGTCGGACATTGGAACATACACAATACCAGTGGCGGGCTCTCTTTCAATCCCAGGACTTTTCGAGGGTCGGGGACGGCGTCGGGGAGGTGTGGTGAATTTTTTCCCCTTTTCCCCGGGGAAGCAACGAAACATGTATACACCAAGACCCCATATACACCAGGATCCGCTTTCTTGTGAGAGTTTCAGCGCAGGGCCGGAAAAAGCGTTGGGGTATAGAGTTTGGTTCCTTACAATGTAGATTCTCAGTGCTATATGAGGACCACCACCCCCTCCTGGGGCTAACGGGTTACCTGTTCGTATCGATTTTCGTTTATGGTTCTGCACATTCGTCCATCCTAGATAATGGTTTGTACCTTTTTAGATAGTCTGGTTATCGACCCCCCCGTCGCCCCTGTCAAATAATTCTGTGCGCGCGCATTCTGTTAGCAAACATTACCCGTTTCCAATAACATGGCGCAACAGATGGAGAGACATTAGTATGCGCGCGTCGTCGCGCGCCTATGCCGAAACCTTTCAAAACCTTAGGTGTCGTGGAGATTTCAAAATCGAGTCCCCCGAAAACATTTGAAAGTTCATGATTCCACAACACGGCTGTCGTAGCAAAGGTTTGCGCTCGCGCTCTCACGGAATTTTAAGAAGCAAGCGACCGTTCTTCAACATGTTCATCCATGCGCGTGCTGGGGGGGGCAGGATCCCTGTCAAATAATGCCATGTGGGCCACTCTCACGCGTCGGCCGCGCGCGCATGTTGAGCTCTTTCCAAAGCCGTCATCACCGACGCGTGGACACCATCATTGTCGTCGGCGTGATCAGCATCGGCGCCGTCACTGCCCTTGCCGTCGCCTTTTGTCATCATCGTCACCAGCATCGCTGCTGTCATCATCGTGCCTGTGAGCGACCCTCGGATCGGCACGCGGTGAGCGACTTCTCGGATCGGAGGCCCTCGGTGAGCGGCCCCCCGGAGCGGCACACGGCCCTGCCCCGGAGCAGGAGCTGCGGGAGCGGCTGCTGTTCGAGGACGTGGACCGCGCGGGCTGGTTCGGCGCCGCGAGCGTCAGCGCGCTGGAGGCGCGCGCGCGCCGCCTGTCAGGGAGGGCCTTTCAATGGTCGACGAATCGCTCCACTAATCGCCCTGCGAGTGGCCCATTCATGAATTTGACCCACCAGTGTCCAACTAATGAAATCGACTCAGCATTGGCCCACTCACGATCTGCGAATGACTTTTGACACACGAGCGGCCCATTCATGCTTCTCGAACGGTTCGCTTCTTGTGTTTATCTCGCGTGAACGCGATTGCAGTGATCATCAGTGCCCAACCAGGCGGCCATTAGCGCGCTTTCAGCCAGGCCCGAAGGTGCTGTGAGGCAGGGCCCTTCATGACACCCGAGGAGGAAGACGTCGTGATTGACCAGGTCTCCCCAATGCGGTCCGAGTGGATGGGGTTGGGAGCATGCTGAGGGTCCGAGGTGGTCAGGCCTTGGTTCCAACCAGCAGGAAGGGGGGCGAGGTTGGAGCTTTTTGGGCTCGGGAGAGTGCTCTTGCTTTGTGCAGCCTCCAGGGGCCGTTTTCGAGCCCCTGGACTATCAGAAACGGATCCGGGGTGAAAACTTGCACCAGCTGGACTGCGGGAGGGGTCCAGGGATTGAATTTCAACGAATGTGGTGTCACCCCCCCTTTTCTGATTCATGATCTGAGGTCCCAGCCAGTTCAGACCCCTCTTGCGGTATCTCTCCGAGCATCTCACCTGGTGTCCGAGTGGATGGGGTCGGAGGATCGCTCCGCATCGACGACGCATCGGCGATGCGGCTCGATGTGGAGTCCAATCTTTTCCATGCCGATGGCGGCGATGCATCGCCGACATCGCCGATGCGGCGCGATCCACCGACCCATCTACTCGGACCGCAGTTGAGAGGGCTCTAGCTAAGGATACTCCGCGGCGGGGACGTGTGCGTAATCACAGCCTGGGGGGATCTTTCTTTGGGGCCCCGTGCAGGCGGCAGACATGGCCCTGTTCGGGGCTCCCGGGGCCAATCGCAGCTGCACCCACCGCCCACAGTGGGCCAAGGACGTCGGTTCCCAAGGCTCTCGCGATGGATACGGTGGGGGCCCGACCACAAGAGACATTCCACAAGAAACCTCACCCTGAGACCCCAGGACGTCCTGGATTTTTGGTCCGGGAGCGTCGCGCTCTCCATGGCAAAAACATCGAAACCCAAGAAACCCAGGGCACCCCGGAGGCAAGCAGGGTGTTTGTTGGAATGGGTCTCCACTGTAGATCTTCGCCTTGAAGATACGCTCCAAGATCTCCAAGCTCTCCAGGTGTTCCAGGATCTTCCGGTGTGCCTCGTGGGCGGCCAGAACGAGGGCCGCCGGATCCTCCCCCTGGAGTCTCTGGAGCGCATCTTGAGCCAAGCGCATCATGGCACTCTTTGACTGGGACTCTTCTCGAACGCCAGGTGCTGTCCAGTGGCGCTATCGGCCCCAGAGCCAGTATTCTGGCAGCCGAAACACCGAAAAGTGTGGTCAAAACCAACTGTGGCGCTGTGGGCCTGCAAATTAGACCTGGGCGGGCGCAGCTTGGAAGCGAGAGCCAGCAGAAACTCAGGAGGGAAAGAAACACACGGGCACAATTAATCGTCGATTCCCCCTCAGAAAATATGGGACATGGGGGGAAGACAAAAACCAAGAAAATATTTTGAAATATGGGGAATCCTGTTGTTTGTGTGTGTATTTATTTGTGTGTCCCAGGGCCCCTTCAGGAACATGCTCCCCCCTTCGCTCATCGTGCTCCCCCTCTACCCGGGCGGGTCTGGGATTTGAACCCATCCGCTCCAGAACATCTTTGGATGCGCGTTCCTGATTTCAGCCACGTGCAGAGGGGGGTGGGGGGGAGGGGGAGGGCTTACTAGAAGCACCCCTGCTTCTTAGAAGGCGCGGGCCTTCTCTATAGACGTAAGGCTGGCGCCTTCTAAGAAACAGCCTCCTTCTAAGAAGCCCTCCCCCCTCCCTCCACCCCCTTGTGCGCGCCGCCGAAGGACGTTCTGAGAATGCCGCGGCGCTCGAAACATCCTCCAGAACTGCTGGATCTCAGAGATTCTCGCCTCGTCGTCGTCGGAATTTTCGTCCTCGCCTTGGGTTCGTCATATAGCATTACTGGAGAGGCAGGTTCCGCTTCCCCTCTCCTCGTCCCCCCCGCGCGGGCCCCACGCAGAGCCCCCCCCCAATGTCAGAACGGGCCGAAAAAAAGGCCCAGTTGTGTGTGGGGGGGGCGGCAGTCGTCCATCTATGGGTTTCCCGTAACTCCGAATTATGGCAAGCCCACATGTCGCCAGATTCCTCCAGGATTTCTGGCGATCCATGGGTTTCCCATAATTCGCAGGCCCTCGGCAGGAGGGGGCCAGCTGCGGGCGGGCGCGAGCGCGGTTCAGGGCTCGAGGGGCGGGGGGGTCAATGCAAGCGGGGGTCCGCCAGAGCGCCGGATCTTGCAGCATCCTGCAGGGCCAGGGTCACACTGACCCGGGCTTGGGTGCAGGGCCCATTTCCACTTTCGTTTCCCATGTGTCCATCGTCCTGCCCTCTCACCCTTCCCCTCGCCCCCTTCACACTCTTCTCGCCATGCCTGGGCTTCCTTCCCTACTCCCACTCCTGCTCTCCCTCACCATCCTCCTCATCAGCATCATCACCACCACCACGGCCACCGTCACCATCATCACCCTCATGATCATCCTCCTCAGCCCTGCAGGCTCCTGCCGGAGCCTTCGCGCTGACGCGGGCTTGGGCGCGGGACCTCGCAGGGTCCTGCAGGAGTCTGCAGGGCCCGACCGGGCCGGGCCTGGACGGACCCGGGCCTGGAGGGGCGCGGGCGCGCGAGGCACGGCGGAGGGCACGCGGGTGAGAGCCTCGGGAGACCCAGGCCCCCTCTTCGCGTCACGAGAGGAGCACTCCGGGGAGAGTTTCGCTGCAGCGGAGGCCCATGCCAAAAGACACGCCCCCGCTCGCCTCCAGGGTGTGCCCTGGGCGTCTCGGGTTTCTGTTCGAAGGTTTTGCCATGGAGAGGGCGACGCCCCCGTAGCCAAAGGTCCATGGGCGTCCCAGGGTTCCAGGGCTGTTACCAGCCTGGAGCATGTCCCTATCCCTATGCTGGGCACCTCCTCATCACGATGCCAATCTTAGGGATTCCCCTATTTTTTGGGCGTGTCGATCTTAGGGATGGGGATACGTTCGAGGCTGGTAAGGTTGGGTTTCTCGTGGAAGGTTTCTTGTGGTCGGGCCCCGCCTGTACCGTCGGCCGCTGGGCGCCGTCACTGGGCCTCGGGACGTCAAGGAACGGCTCGGGAGGGGGTCGGTCGCTGGGGGTCGACGCCATGAAAAAGTCCTGGCGGCGGGGGTCCCTGGAGGCTGCCGGGGGGTCCGGGGCATGTCACCAGCCTCGAACTGATCCCTATCCCTAAGATTGACACGCCAAAAGGCGATGACAATCTTAGGAATTCGCCCTGAAAAACTCAGGGAATCCCTGAGATTGGCATCGTGATGAGGAGATACCCAGCATAGGGATAGGGATATGTTCCAGGGCGGTAAGTATGGGAACAACCAGTGATATCAACGTAAACATTCGGAGGCCCGAGTGGATGAATCGGCGCTGAGGCCCCCCCCTGGCGGCGCCGTCCTCGGCGCGCTCCGCGCGCCAAGGAGGGGTGGTCCGGCGCCGACCTGAGGAAGCCGAGCGGACCTCCGAATTTTGATGTTTTTATGTCATTGTTCGTTTCCCAGCAGGGGCCCAGACCCCTTCGAGCCGCGAGCAAAGTCGCGGCAGGAACTTGTCGGCCAATGGTTCGACCTCCGGGGTCCCTTGCCGGGCCTTTGGGCAGTCAAACAGCGATTCGGTTAAGTCGGGCCTGTCCCTCCACAGGAGGAATCTTCAAAAGTAGTCACAACATAGTCTGGAGACTTGTTTTTTAATACTATTGTTGTGTTTGTTTGAGCATTTGGGGGCTTTTTTGTTCGTTCAGAATCTGCCTGTGGGGGGACATGCCCGACCTGAAACTAGCGATTCGGGATGAAAGGCTGGTCGGGGGTCCAGACCACTTGGGGGGTCCACGCGTCCACGCCGCGAGCAAACACACGGCGCCGCGTCGTGGGCCCGGGGAGGGGGCCAGAGGGACGCCCGCCCGTGGGAGGTTGGTCTTCGAATCCCCTCGGGTGGCCATCGGTGGTCCTCCTCGTCGTCCTCCTCGCTGTGCTCCCTCCTGACGTCACCCCCCTCACCTCGGCACACCTCTCACACGTTTCGTGGCCCCATTGGGAGCTCCACCGAAGGCCGCAGTGGGGGTGCCCCCCCCCTGTCGCGACCCCCCTCGTGGCGACCCCCCCCGTGGGGGCCCCCTCCGTCGCGACCCCCCGTCGCGACCCCGGCTGGAGGTGCAGCGACTGATCGAGAGGCACATGGACATGCACCAGAGAGCGCAGAAGCTGGCGAGGCAGCTCAAGCTGATGAGCCGGGCGCTCCAGCAGCAAGGGCAGGGGAGGGAGGGGGGCGGCGCACCCGCAGGGGGCCTCTTAGACTGGTCTCTGTCTCTCTCAGGTTGTCGGCGGGGCGCGATGGCGGGTGGATGGGGTGATGGAGGGGGAGGAGGAGTAAGCAGCAGGAGGAGGAGGAGGAGGAGGAGGAGGAACAGAAGTAGGAGGAGGAAAAGGAAGGATGAGGAGCAGGAAGAGGAGGAGGAGGAGGAGGAGGACCAG